TGCTACGGTGGAGTCGAGCCCGGAATATGGTGAGGGCCCAAGCGGGGATGTGACAATTTGGTATCAGAGCCAATCCCTGGCCGGATATGTGCCGACGAAGACGTCGGGCCCCTAAAGGGGGTGGATTGTTAGATCCCACATTGCCTATGGGAGTGGATCCTGTAAGCCTTATATGTATATTCTCATCTTTACCTAGCACGAGGCCTTTTGGGAGCTCACTGGCTTTGGGTTCCATCGAAACTCCAAAATTAAGCGAGTTCGCACGAGACTATTCCCAGAATGGGTGACCCACTGGGAAGTTCTTGTGTGAGTTTCCAGAAACAAAACCGTGAGGGCGTGGTCGGGGCTCAAAGCGGATAATATCGTGCTACGATGGAGTCGAGCCTGGGATGTGGTGGGGGGCCCGGGCCGAGATGTAACAATACCCATGTGTACCCATGTGTATACCGTCACGTGACATTGTATATTTAATCAGTGATAGAAAAATTACATATGGTATATTTATGTTTTATGCCTAAACTTTGTATTATATATTTATATTTTTAGTTTGTACCCACTTTTAATTTGCAACATTTTTTTAAAATTTGTAGTATTTTATTTTGTACCCATGTATTAATTTATTTTAGCACCTCTATTTTTTTAAAATTCATTTGTACTCATAATTTTTTAATCTTTTACTTGTACCCTAACAATTCATTTGTAGTATTTTCTTTTTAGTTTTATAATGTACCCATTCTTCTTTATTAATGTACCACTTTGTTATATGTGAAATGTACTTATTTTTTTGGGGTGTGCTATCCACACACCCCTTGTTAATTTATGTCTGTTGATCTTCTTCAATTCATCCGATCTGACAGTCGAAAATTAGAAGTGTGTGAAAAGTAAAATGGGGTGTGTGGATATCACACCCCATTTTTTTAACACTATGGATACATTCTTTTGCCATTTATTATTTCTTATTTTTACATAGTTTTTATCCATTTATTAAATCAAAATGTTTGATTTTTTTTTTGTAACCGTTTCTAATAGGATTATAATGAGGGATTTTAAATTTATAGGATTATAAATCTCATAAAATATCAAACAATTAATGTCAAAACTATAAAAATATTAATAGTAATATAATAAGGTGTACAAAGTCAAGGGACTTTGATCAAAGTTTGAATATTATTAAGGTTTTAATCAAATAATGTTAAGGATTATGGACCGCATCCAAAGTATCACTTTTAAAAAATTTCATCAAGTTTTCCATCCATCTTAATCACGAAAACAACACATGACAACTGTATGAGGGAAAAATGATGAAAAATTGGATGGACGAAAAATTGAATGAAAGTTTTTAAAATCTAACGCCAAGGGGGGGGGGGGGAATTGGCTATTTACAAAAGTTCAGGGGATAATCGGCTAAAATTAAAGTTCAAGAGGCAATTTGACTAATTAAAAATGTTCAATAGTATAAACGGCTAAAATTAAAGTTCAGCGGGGAAATTGGCAGCTCTATACAAGTTCAAGGGCAAATCAACAAATACCTCATTCATATATGGCATGTTTAAGTACTCATAGTCAGAATTAAAATATAAAAAAAAAAAAAATTCAATCATAAACCACTCGTGTGTTTACTAAATTTTAAGGAATCAAAAGAATGGTGAGACCTTCAAAAGTTTAGAAATTCAATTCCTCATTTTTTGAGGAACTTGATCCCTTAGTTATAGGTGGTATTTGAATTTCGAAAGGAGGGAATGGGAAATTCATTTTCCATACACATAATGCCCTGACTTAATCACTGAAATTCCAGAATAAAAATCGCACATGTACCCAGCGCTAGTCTGTCTCTCTCTTTCATTATCACCCAACAAATATCGAGTTTTCTCCTATAATCTTTGTCAAGCATAGAAACAGATAAATTAAAAAAAAAAAAAACACACACACACACACACACACAAAGGCTTTCCTCAATAGCTTTTAGCAAGAGATTGACCACAATTAAAGTTCTCTTTAATAATGTAAAACCAAACAATATACACACGAGAAGTATGAGAGGGAAGAAAGGGAAGAGTCTTAGATGGATTGTATATATACTCAGGATTATCGCCAAGTCCAAGGCCAAAAGCAGAGATCTACGGTGAGACAATTTAGACTGAAACTTAATTAGATGAGAGGATCTCTCAATTGGATAGGGAGAAAATAAATAAACAAATACACAGTAAATCAAATATTAGAACTCGCCTGCTATTTTTGAGTTGTTGATGTGTGTAAACAATATATGCATTAATTATGTAGTATGTATAACACATTAGCAGTAAAAGAAAAGAAAATAAAAGAAAAGTTGATGAGGGCATGCAAATATTGGTTAAGTGATGAAGACGCAACTAGCTAGCTAGGGTGGGCCTTCCATGGACCAAACAAACAAGCATATGTAGTGGGGTGTAATGTGCTAGTTCAAGTTAACGAGGACAGACAGTGTGTGATGATGTGTAGACAGTGTGTGATGATGTGTAGACAGTGACTTTTAAGTGCGTGGTTGGTTAGTAGCGCGCAGCAGGCACATAGTACACTCATCACTCACGTACGAGTCATGGTCTATCTATTCTGGTCGTAATTACACCGACTGTAAATAGTGCATATATACATTAATACAGGAACTTGGATTGTCTGCCCTTCCATTTCGGTGCCCTTTTCGTGTCCTCCTGTTTTGTGTGGTCACGGTTAAGCCACGTCAACATTTTATATTATTTTTTTATAAAAATAATAAAACAAAAAGAAATAGTAATATAAAACGTTGACGTGGCTTAACCGTGACCACACAAACAGAAGGGCACGAAAAGGGCACCGAAATGAGAGGGTAGACAATCCAAGTCCTTAATACAGAGTGGTTTTCTGTCCTTCGCTGTTGAACCTGAGCATATATATCTTGTCAATGGCTGGCCGGCCAATGACGTAATCCATTACCATTTTACATGAATGAGGAATTAGGATGCCTGCTGGTAATAGCATCTCTAGTGATGTCAGCAATTGAGTAGGCAAAGAAGAAGGATTCTCTACCCTCCTAATCTCTCTACCTTTTCATACGGAATCAGCTAGACTAATATTAGTAATTTGTTTTAGTAGTGTGTAGCTTATTTGTAGAAGAATGCTTTTATGCAACTATAAATTCTTTATTGTGAATGGATATGAAGTTTGGAAAAGGATCATTGTCAGATCATTTTTCTAGGATCATAGAGATCCAGTAATTATGTTCGTTCATCGTATATCGTGTAGTCAGTTTTCATTAAGTACTATTTATATTTGAATTTTAAATGATTTATGACTGCATGATTTACTATGAACGAACATAATTACGAGATCTCTAGGATCCCTTGAAAAGGTATCTTGCGATAATCCTTTTCCATGAAGTTTAACATAGAAAATCTAAAGTAATATTTTTTTAATTAAAAAACGATGTCAAATCCGGAACCGGATAATCCTTTTCCATGAAGTTTAACATAGAAAATCTAAAGTAATATTTTTTTTAATTAAAAAACGATGTCAAATCCGGAACCGGATCCCCTCCTGAGCATAGGGTGGGAATCCTCCTGACCGGGTCATCTGGACCATTGAAATTTGATCTAACGGCTACAAACAAGGGGACCCTCTAAAAGTTATAATTATTGTAGCTGTTAGATCAAATTTCAATAGCCTAGATGGCCCGGTCAGGAGGATCCCTTGATGAAATTGAGGTTCCACCATAAAACTAATTGGCAATATGGGGAGTAATCCAAGACTATATAAACACATAACAAACCTAGTCCCTCACCAATGTGGGACAACTCTCAACACTCCCCCGCACATGTGGCGGATTTTCAAGCCTACACGTAGACAACAACTAGGTGACATGGAGCGCGTGTGGCCGTTTGGCTTCACACGAAGACAACCCGCTATGATACAATGATGAAATTGGGGTTCCATCATAAAACCAATATGAGGAGTAACCCAAAACTATATAAGCACATAGCAAACCTGGTCTCTTACCGATATGGGACAACTCTCAACATCTCCACCCTATGCTCAGGTGGGGATCTGGTTTCGTCAAATTCAATCCTACATTTCTTTCATGAAAAGACATTGTTGTAAATACATTAATAAAATAAAAATTAAAAGTACAATAAATTAAGGGAGACAATAAGTATTGAGAATGAATATACATTGATGAGAGAATGAACTTTGTATTATGACACTTGGTGCATGAGGCAGTGTTCTCGGCACATTGAAAAATGTCTCATTTGCATGGATTTATAAGTAAATTAATTTACTTATCATATTGTCTAGTAGTTTTATGGTGAAATCTCAATTTCTTAAACAAGCCTAACCTAATACAATCTAAAGTCTAAAATAATAATGCAAAACTTTCCTCTATATACTTTGACTAAATAAACTGTTGTTAGTTTTAGTGTATATACATGTATGTATCTGGAAATTAAATGATAACTTTATAGATTTTTCTTTCTTTGGGAGGGAAAGAGAAGATTTTAACAAGGTGTACGATGATGAGGGAGCTTTTGGACCGACAACGCATAAACTGATCAAATGGGAATAAAAACTGGTGGTCCTACTTGACTTTACAGTGGATGAAAGAGTAAGGGCATATCGCCAATCGCCAATCGCCAATTCCCGTGTTTTCGTATCAGAGGAATTTAGTAAGAAATCAAAGAACATAACAAAAATATCAAGAGAGCAAAATGCAAAAAGGAAAGAGCGATTGATATATGGCCGGAGCAGAATCTTTCATTGAGTGCCCAGAAACAAAAGCTAACCGGGAAAATAGCAATATAACATGCAATGCAACAGAATATAAATAGTTGATTTTGATCACCAAACTCTCAATATCTAAAGTCACAACTTACCTGGATACTTTTGAGTTTTAGCTACATATACATATACACATAGATCTGGCCAGATAGCTAGTAGTACAAGTACCCTCTCTCTCTCTCTCCGTCTCTCTCTCTCCAAAAGAAAGAAAGAAAATGCCTAGGGATAGGGACCCCCTTGTTGTTGGACGAGTGGTTGGTGATGTTTTAGACCCCTTCACAAGGTCTGTTTCTCTGAGGGTGACCTACGGTACTAAGGAGGTTAACAATGGTTGTGAGCTCAAACCTTCTGAAGTTGTCCAACAACCTAGAGCTGATATTGGTGGAGACGATCTCAGGACTTTCTACACTCTGGTAAGTTTCTATCTTCCATCCATCACATATATATACATACATACAGAATTGAGAATATATGAAATTAACATGCACGGGTTTCATTAATTAACTCCATTAATTGCAGGTCATGGTGGATCCTGATGCACCCAGCCCAAGTGACCCCAACCTAAAGGAATATTTGCATTGGTGTGTATCCTGTAGCGCTCTCTCTCTCTCTGCACAGGGATATGTATATCTTTCCTTAAGCTTAACTCACTTCTTAATACAGTACGAAGAGTAATTTGCCAGCGAGGTTTCAACTTCTTCTTTATGCGTTTATCTTTCAAGAGTGGGGAAGGAGTGTAGTACTGATACTTCTGATTGCACGAATGTTTCAGGTTGGTTACCGATATTCCAGCAACTACTGCGGCAAGCTTCGGTTAGTTGTCTCTACTGCATCTTCAGATCAGCTTTGAAATTTGACTATATGTGGTTCTTTCTTATTTATGTTTATTTTAGAGGAATCTTTTGTAATTATACTTTTTTATTTCTAACCATTAATTTTGTTGTATTGTTAACAATAAACAAGCCCACATATCTTAATCATAAACCCTATATTATGTTAAGAATTAATCACACATTAATTTGATGAAGGACATTGCATGAGCTTATAAATAAGTTGGATTACTCCTTATTTTGTCAATTGGTTTTATGATGAAATCTCAACTTTCTTCATAGTATCAGAATAGGTTGTTCCACGTGTGAAGCCAAAAGGCCACACGTACTCCACGTTATCCCGTTGTGTTGTTTATGGGTTAAGCTTGAAAAATTTGTCACGCTTGAGAGGGTGTGTTGAGAATGAATTATACATTGATACGAAAGAAAAGACATTGCATGAATTTATAGGTAAGTTAGGTTACTCTCCATTGCCAAATATATTATTCTAAAACCTAAACCCTAAATTCACTTTGAAGAAAATTAACAGACATAAATTATCAAGGAGTGTGTGAGAAATAAAATGGGATCTGTGGATAGCACACCCTTTTTTTTTCCAGTAGCAAATGTCCCTTTGGGCCTATAAGCTCTGTGGTAAAGGTCTTTTCAGGAGAAGGCTTTGTTATTAGCTAGGATCTCCCAGGGTAATAATTTTACCCAAACCCTAATTGTCTGCCATGAAGGAACCCTTATATTCAAGCATGAACACTGATAATGAAACCCATATATATTGATCATGCAGGGCAAGAGATAGTGTGTTATGAAAGTCCACGGCCAACAGTGGGGATTCATCGCTTTGTTTTGGTGGTGTTTCGCCAATTGGGTAGGCAAACGGTGTATGCTCCGGGATGGCGCCAGAACTTCAATACCAGAGACTTCGCCGAGCTTTATAATCTTGGATTACCGGTGTCTGTCGTCTATTTTAACTGCCAAAGGGAGGGCGGCTCCGGTGGAAGGAGAAGATAACTTTGATAATAAGTAAGGGTATATAATCTATAGATCACGTTGTCGAAATTAAACGATAAAGAGATATATGTAGTCCGCAAAAATAATGATTATATATACTACTACTACTACCGCTGCTGCTGTAGTACTACAACTATAGTAATTAATAAAAATAATTTAGGTAGCTGGTTGGGGAGCTAGTCCATCGATGTGTACGCACAACTGGTATAGCATTTCGACATGCTTGTTTGACAATACATACTTTTCTTTCCAAGAACTGCAACAACTAGCTATCAACGTGCTTGTGTGGCTCGGACTAAAAGCTGATTATTTAAGTAAATAATAAAGTGTTTGTCTTTTTGCTCCAAGGAATGAATTGTTCTAAATACAAAAATGTCGTGTGTAATTGTCTATCTAAGACCATATGGATCAAAATATTCATAATATACACAGGTATTGTCCAATATTAATTGTTCACTTCTTTTAAGGGAAATGTTATTGATACTTTAAACATCTTATTTTACACTTCTTGCAAGTGTATTTTTCTTTCATAATATAGGAAGTTTGAAAAGTAGAATGTGATTTTTGGAGTGCTAATAACAATTCATTTTAATTGTAGCTTTTTTGTGAATGAAATAAGAATTTATTATAAAATCAATAAAAATGCTAGCAAGATATGTTCAAAAAGCGAGTCTCCTACGACTCTCTTTCTTAGGCTTCCACGTGGCTGGGAAAACCAAGAAAAACAAGAACACTAAAAATACTTTTTCTCTGAGGTAAGTGATGTCACCGGCAGTCAGCCGGAAGATCTTGAAGTCAAGCTTCCCCTGGGTGGCTTCAAACACCGTATGGTGTGTGTCTTGACTCTTGGCTGGCCGCCTACCTCAAGCTCAACCCTGTTGCTAGCGCTCCAGGGTGGAGATTTTCTTGAGTTCTTGTAACTCAGGGTGGGTGAAGGTGGGGGATCGAGTGGCCAGTGGCGAAGTCATAAATTTTCGGAAGGAAAGGCTGAATTTTAGAAGGTAAAAGGTCCCAAAAAATATCGATAATCACATCATTTTAGATAGTAAATAATATTAATATCGTTCATAATTTGTCAATATAAACCAGTTGCAATGTTGTTCATATTTTGTGGTACTTTCCCTAATAACTTGGCATCATTCCTTTGGAACTTAGAAAATCCTCATCCAAATATGTATATGAAAGCAATTAGCCAATTTTTTATGTGCCCTAGCAGGCGATCCGTTTGTGAGTGATGGTGGCCGTGTTAGCTGCGATATGGTCTTGGTCATGTGAGTTGGTAAGGGCCGTGTGTTGGTGTTTAAGGGCAACTCTTACAGAGGTAAAGTCGCGAGTCTCATATCTATTAAATAGATGATATAAGTGATAGTTCAAGTAGATAGAAAGAATATCATTTTTGGGCCGAACCAGTTTTATGTGGACTGTAGATATAACTAAGTCAAAAGCCTATACCCGAAACGACACTGTTCCATTAAAGCCAATAAACATTACGACTCTGTTCCTCTTAAAGCCAATAAACGTAACAACATCGTTCCTATTAAAGCCAATGAACTGAAATATACTACCATTCTTGTTCCTCATGAGAAGATGTCTGAAAATTTCACTATTTCAATGCAGGTTCAGAGGAATCAGACGTCCAGAGGGGCAACTTATCACTCTTAGAGACGAGTTCCGATGATCGGAGGTGCGACCACACCTCCTTGCGTCTCTGTGGCTCGCCAGCGTTTGTGCAGTGTTTGTGCAGCTGCAGCAAAAAACAAGGCTTCATTTTCGGCGAGATGAGGGGTGGGTACTCGCTCTTGGGTTTCATTTCCGGTGAGTGGAGGGGCGGCTATCCCTCCTTGTCCCTTTGTGGCTTTGTCCGTGTGAGCGGCTAATATCTGACGTCATTGTAAATGATGACTGCCAAGGGCCTGTTCGCAGCCAGGGCAGCCAGATTGTCCAAGAACAGTCTGAAGCTTATACCGTCAAATGTTGCATGGTTGTTGATATGCCCATCGCGAATCCACCACACTTAAATGTTGTTACCAGTTCAATTATTAGTTCAATCACACGAAAAAATTACCACTCTAATGATTTCACCCTCTGTGTGTGTCTGTGTGTGGTACATAGCTAGTAACTGCATATATCCATCTAGCTATATTAATTGATTAAGCACCCTCTTTGGAAGGAAACATATAAGTCCAATCTAGTTGATTATATAGTAGCTATGCATGGTTTTGTTGTTTAGATGCACGCTGCTCCGTTGTAGTGATATTAAGATATAAGTAAATATGATCCAAATAGTAATACTTCAGCAAAATTACACGTGGTCAATTTTATGCGAAATTCATGTTTAGGGCAGCACTATGCTGTAATTTTCGCATTAAATAATGGATCATGAGTCTCTACATTTACCATCCGTACATTTACATGCATGTAGACAAATTTTAACTATTCAATTCACTTAATGAGATTAATTAAATCCACATCATTTATAGTGAATTTAGTGGTTAAGATTTTCGCATAAAGGAATAGGGTTTGCATGTTGGTACGACACTCGTGGGCATAAGGCATCACTCTTTTATAAGGAATGCGTATGTCGTATGTCACTATGACATCCTAATTTAAGAACACAACGCCATATAGTGGACGTCACGATAAGAGTAAACATGTTCACATTTTTTACTTCAACCATCCTCTAAATTTTTCAGTAATTAACTAAATTTGATAGTTTCATATGTGCATTAAATTTTTCATTTTGTATGTGTGAACAATTTCTCTTAATAAGTGCATATTTTTTTTAATATTACATAATTATTGTTTTCTCCTTCTTATGTAAATATTGTGTATCAAACGTGAGGGTAAAATAGGAAAAATAAGTATAAAAAGAGGGTAAAATAAGAAAAATAGGGATACGATTGTCATTTTGTCAAAAGGTATAAAATTACTATTTTGCCCTCCTTTTGTCAATAGTGTGTATCAAAAGTGAGAGCAAAATAGAAAAAAAAGTTGACAAGGAAGATTTTCTTAATAATAGTATAGATTAGTGACTTATTAATTGGTATTCTAACATTACCCCTCCCAAATTGCGCAACGTTGCTAATTGCGTGTTTGGTGAATAATCTACATTCGAGTCGATAGTTGTCAGAATCAAGTTAATCAATCAAAGGGATGGGAATGGGCCTGCCGACCTTTGCTCAACACAAATGCAAGGGAGCTGTCGATTGGCATCAACTTTCCTATACACTTTCATCAACTAATAATTAATCTTGCTAGCTCTTGACCACTATCACTTTTAAGAATCTTATGATTCACCCCAATTTTAAAGGGAAGTGTGCACTCACCTTTATATATGTCAGTATTAAGATGATCAATAATTTTGAAGTCGTAATTTGTTATTTGTGCATATATGTTGAAAATTTTCAAATCAAATTATTGGCCGCAGGTATTGTAGGTGATGCGTCCTTTTAATCTCATTAACATATGATCCATCTTTTTGCATTTAAATTTGTCGCCTTTTAATATTATGGTTTAATAATATATTTTTCTTTACTTGTAAGTGATTGGTTTTAATGAGATTCACGAAGAAAACTCATCCATTCCAATCTTCTCCAATATGGTAGGATTAGAAGGGATAGTTTTATTCATGTCGAATCCTCTTCTAATTACCTCTATATAAAAAATCATTCACTTTTACCTACAATATACCATAAAACTTGAGAGTTATCTATTCCCATATAATCGTATTTGCCAAACGAGATTTAAAGATAGCCAATTGGATAAGAAAATACATTGAGGATTGAGCCCAATAATAATGTTAGCACATGATCCTTTATTGACCCATTAAAATATAGGAAAATTAATGAAAATGGTTTGAAAATTTTAAGTTTTAATCAAAATTACAAAAATGTGTTGTAAGTGACTAGTACCATGTAGCATCCTATATCGACCAACGGATAGGGGGTGATGTGCCTTATATGTACATGCCCATCTCCATATAGCACGAGACCTTTTGGGAACTCACTGGCTTCGGATTCCATCGTAACTCCAAAGTTAAGCGAGATTGGACGAAAGCATTCCTATGATGGGTGCCTCACCGGGAAGTTCTCGTGTGAGTTCCCAGAAACAAAACTGTGAGGGCGTGGTTGGGACCCAAAGCGGACAATATCGTGTTACAACGGAGTTGGTCTGGAATGTGACATAATGGTATCAGAGCCACTATGCTGTGTGGTGCGAGTGTGTTGATGAGGAAGTCGGGCCCCTAAAGGGGATGGATTGTAACATCCCACATTGACCAACAGAGAGGAGGTGATGTGTCTTATATGTACATGCCCACCTTCATATAGCATGAGACCTTTTGGGAACTTACTGGCTTCGGATTCCATCGGAACTCCGAAGTTAAGCGAGATTGGGCAAGAACATTCCTAGGATGAGTGACCCACTGGGAAGTTCTCGTGTGAGTTCCCAGAAACAAAACCGTGAGGGTGTGGTCGGGGCATAAAGCGGACAATATCGTGCTACGGCGAAGTTGAGACTGAGATGTGACATACCATGAGTGACTTTTTAGAGTAAAAATGTCATTTTCGTTAAAAGTGAATAGTACCGAGAGTGTTTCGTTAAAACTCCCTAAAATATAAGGCATTTGGAAAAATGCCTTTTTTGAGAGGCCCCCAAAAGATTTTTGCCTTTGTTTTTAAATTTTATAGGCTTTTGCCCCTTTTAAGGTGTGAAAGTATCAAACGTCCTTGTAGCTAGGTTTAATTGTTTTCAATCTTCCTGTTTTCGTCGTATTTTGAACAGCTCAAACAATGTTGTTCTCCACTCACGTGAGATCAAATCTTCTGCACTCATTTTGTGTGTGACTTTGTGGCAACAAAGTTAAAAATGATTTATTTTGTTAACACGTGTCAATCAATGAAAGACACACACAAAATAAATACGGAAAATTTTGAACTTTGTGACGACACCAAAGCAAAGAAACAAAACATTCACTCTCCTTCCACCCACTGAGACAACCT